TAAAATAAATAAGTGATATACAAACCTGCAACCAGGCTCTGCGATTAGAATGTAATAACCCCATAGAAGACCACAAACATTCTACAGATGCAGAGTTAATGCAAATTCCATGAACATGAATTGCTGCTCGTGCTAATTCTGGACCTACTCCTTCAGTTGATTCCCAAAAATCCATCAAATTTCCTTTAAATTGTTTAAATGACTCTGAATCATATGGATCAATTTCCTGTTTATATTTTATTAATTCAGCTAAAATAGACACGGGTTTACAATTAAACCATGCCTCATAATAATATTTAAGCCATTGCCCAATATGTGTCCACGATAGATTAGCAACTATGCTATTAAATTTGATAAGTTTGTATGCAGGATGTAGTGTGAAAAAAAGAATAATTAAAGGTTGTTCTCATTCATTCCAACATGATTCAATACGTGCTTTCATTCTTGTTTCAAATTCAAAATCTTCTTGATATTCAAATATTTTCATTATATATCCAAAGCAACGAAGAACTTCATATAATCGAGCTGTGTTTTTTTGTAACTGATTTAAAAAACCACAAAGAAAGTATAAAAGTTCTTAAAGATTGGTTAACATGATCCAAAACTGTGTGTCATTTATAATATCAGCAATGTTGTCAGGAAGTTTTCGAGTATTATTGCGTAGGGTTGTTCGATTATCAGCTGGCTCAGACGGAATACTGTCCATTCGAGTTACATTGCTATGATGGTTATTAAACTTGGAGGAGAGAAACTAATAACAAAAAAAAAAAAAAGATTTAGTTAAAATATAATCCATGATAATTTGCAAAACATAACCATATTTTATACTTTAAGCACAGATTTGGATTTAGCAATAGAATGAAAGCAAAAATAATACGAATTCCATCTTGTATCGCTGGGCACAATTAATGCAATATGTTTGTTATAAATACGCATTTGTTCATCTCTAAGATTGTCCATAAAAAAGGGTGACTTGTGGAAAAAACACATGATTCTTATTGCTTCTCTGGACATTCTTTGATATTGACTTGATTCTTTAAAAATCTCTCCAAATATTAAATTCATTTGGTGGGCCATACATGGCAAAAAAACCTTTGAAGGATACTTTCTTCGTAATTGCCGACTACAAAAACAAAATAATTATTGATAAAATGAACTATAAAAAAAAAAAAAATTAAATTCAATAATAATTTACCATACGGCTGCATATTCATCAGCGAAATCTGAAACGAATGCCTTTATATTTATGTTTTTCTCTTCAGTTTCAGTTATTAATTGTTCAATATGATTGATTACATTTTGTGTTTATGATTTTTCAGAGCTAATGTTATATGTGTCCCATATTAAAGATTGTCCGTTTATGGTTATAAAAACAATGCCCCAAATATGTTCTTGTCTTACATTGGTCCAATTGTCAAATATTGCAGTCACCCTATCCATATCATTCTTTGCAGTTTTAATTATGTTATCTTGTAACAATTTTGAACTATTCATTAATACTCTGCTACCTATAACTTTACGTTTAGGTAATTTAAGTCCTGGTACTAAAAACTCAAACACTGCAATAGTATCTTCATTCTCAACAAATGTAAAAGATAGTGCATTAGAAACAATCATTCTTAAAAGTAATTGTTCAAACCGTGATTGTTCATTAACCATAAGAGGTCAACAAAGAAAGTTTGTGATTGCAGAATGTCAACTATTAACAGATAAGTTGCTTGAAACGGTTGAAATAACTGAATCAGCATGCAAATTTACAGACTCATTAGTCTCGGATTCTTCACCTACATTAAATATTGTAATGTAAATTTAGATGATATGAAAACCCAAATTATAAGTATCTAAAATTTTAATGTACCATCAGTATTTTTGGTTTTTTTTTCTTTTTTTTTTTTTATCTTCCAGTACTGGTAAGGCTAAAATTCTTTGCACTTCTTCTTCAATATTAGCTTCACGAAAGGCTTCACATTTCGATAGATAATTGTAGCACAAACATGCCCTGTTAACTATACAACATTCTGGTTTTAATTGAGTTATTCCTAATCTACTATACTTTCTTATACACCAGTTACATACAGCAAGAGCATTTGTAGGATTATTTGGATTTTTTATTAAAGTAAAATAATTTCTAAAATTATGAGGAGACATAATTTTTTTTGAAATTCAAATTATCATGCATTAACAAACATTCTATCTGCTTAAATTAATTATGAGGCTTATTATACAAAAAAAAAAATTTTAGAACCAGAAACTGATTAAAGTTTCAATATAGTGAAGTTAGCTCAAAACCAATTTAGAATCCTCTTGATATTTAATATCTCTTTATACAACAACTTTTTTAAAAAGCTTGATTCATAAACCTGATCGTGCATTGTCAACATTTGATGCAGTATATAAAAATTTATAACGATAAGTGTTTTTTTAACCTTTGGTTATATTGACATAGAATGCAATACAGTGCGCTGTACATTGGTATTATATTACAGTAAGTATCAACCAGAACTAATCCTGTACCACAACCACAAGGCACAAAGGTTTATTTGCAAATAATTAGCTAAATCAAGTCTAGCTATTGTTGTGACCAAGGAGAAGACTTCCACATTTCAATGCCAAATTATCACAGTGCAAGATATAAACACAGTCACTAAGGAAAGTAATGAAGTTGGTAAATTCGCAAGACACAAGATTTGGGCTTTATATGGTTATCGTTAATCGATAGTTAATGCACCTAGACTTTAAGGTTGTCGATCTATTCAGTATTTGAATAACACTGTCGATCTGGAAACTCAAGATCGAAATTCTGTATTCCAAAAATAGATGATGTAAGTTTAATGATGCATCCGAAAATAGAATAACTAGTTTTAAGATTATCACGGGGTCTTATTTATTAGAAAAGATTATTATCGGGTACGTACGTATTTGTTTATTATATTCAAAGCAGAGTTGTGTTCTTTATTATTTTTGGTGTTGTATTCAATGCTTTTTTTATAAATCAATGATGGTGATAGTAAAATATATAATAAAAAATTCAAGCCACAATAACTCTTGAACTAGTAAGCCCACACAAATGAAATTATACTTGTCAGGCTTGTTTTAACATACTTTTTAAAGTAATAACACTCTTTTTTTTGTTTTCTTATCAAATATCTGATGTTTTTTATCTTAAACTGAAACCGCTATAAGAATTTCTTGTGCTATACCTATGCAATGGTGCAACTAGAAATTTCATTGATTTTTTTTAATAAAAATACATCAAAAACGAGAACTTTGCATAAAAATTGTGAGTTTTCCGTCACATTTCAGACAAAAAAAATAAAAAAATAGCATTATTACTTTAAAGAGCATGTCAAAACAAACTTAATGAATGTAATTTTATTTATGCGAGATTTCTGGTTAAAGAGTTATTGCAGTTTGAATTTTATATGTTTTTATTATAATAAAAAAAAGTTTAAGAATTTATTATATGATTTGTAATGTCATACATATGTACATACGTAGATAATAATTCAACTTCATATTCTGCTATGTTACACATATATGCAATTTTAATTGGTTAAAATATTATGACCTATCAGTTTAGTCATATGATCTTGGTCATAATAGTCATATGACCACTGGTCATAATGTTATAACCTTATGACCTTATGACCTATGGTCATATGACTATATGACTGAGGTCATATTAAAAATTTGTTATAACTTATGTCATAGTCCATTACTGTCTATCATAGTCCAGCTAAAAAGCTGCATATCTAGAGAGCATCTTGGATTTATTTTTAATCCAATTTGATATGAAGTTGTTTATCATGTTTAGTTGTTTCCTGCTTGGTAGCAGCAGATAGACCAAGTACCAAATTTTTAATATAAAAAGAGCTTTAGCTACTAAAATTTTTCCTTTAAAGGATAGGTTTCTAGTTGCT